CCCCCCCCCGGGTACGTCTATATTTATATTCATTTTCACTCGAAATTATGGAATTTTCAATGACATAACATAAACCAAAAAAAGCAACATGGGATTAATTCTACTCCTTCAAGTAATGAGAGGCAAGAATTTATTCAAGATCCATTGTAAGCCTAATGCAGAAGGAAGACCGAATAAACGATTGAAATCTACTTTGTATGTCGCGATTGTTTTAGAGATGGACAAAATGCGAAAAGTTGCGCTGCACCATGTAAAGTTTGTAAAGAAAGTGAGTAGGCATAATTTTCGTGGAAGGGTCTGTTGTAAGAACATCCGATAGTCCCGACTCGAGAAAAAAATTCGAGTCGGGTCAAACAACCCGGGTCGACTCGATCGTTTCGGAGCATTAAATATGAGAACTTAAAATAAAAAAAAAATATTTCTAATTTTCAACTCCAATAATTAATTCAAGTAGTAAGTTGAAAGGGAAAAGTCTTTAACTAATTGAATAAAAAAAGGTACGAAGGTACAGCTGTTTATGTAAGATTAAGAATAGAACTAAGTGAATAAAGTAGAATGGATCGTCTTGGCATATGAGGATTTTCTTTTCAAATATTTCAATCATTTTTTTTTAAAAAAAAAAAAAAAATAACGTGTCAAAAAATATTTATATATTTTTATTCAACAAAAATCAAAATAAAATCTTATTGAATTGCATGAATATTTTCAAATAAATAATACTGGACGAAATTCAAATGTGAAAAAGGAAAGGCGACATATATGAAATTTAGTATTGTTTATCGAGTTACACGAAATACCCCATATGTCTGAAATATTTTTAAAATTGACAGATTTCTCCTCTTTTATTATAGTATGTTAATAATAGTATGCATTGGGATACATGCAAACCATGCATGTGAATAGATCACGAATTTGTAGAATATGATGACCCTTGAAGTTATTTATGTGATGACATCAGTCTCAACCTTCCCGATCACGGGTAGAGGTTATAGTTAGTGGACCCACTGGAACCATTGTGAAAGATGGAACTCATGGTGCAATGGGGGCTGGCCTGTAATGGGCACGTGCCGCATCGTCTACTTAGGGTTAGCCTTAGGGTAGCATCTAATGGTAGACATGTGAAATGATAGCATAAGTTATAAATTTCAGATGGTTTGAACTTGCACTGTCTTCAGCCATCGTGTGTCTAGGCCCTATGCTAGGGGGAGAGGTTGGGTTCGATTCCCAAGTTATTTGACGGTATGGTGAGTTTGGTCATTCCTTTGACCTGGAATGGAGTACCCCTCTATCCAGTAGTACGGCTGAATACCTAACAATGCCAGGGTACCATCTGTTAGTCTATTGAGGCTTTCGGTTGGGGTCTTATCCTAGGTACGACACCTGTTAGGCTGGTTATCGAATACACTTGGCGTGGTTGAAATAGACTTACGAGAGTGGTAAGCAGGCAAAATCATTGTAATTCGGGGACCAATTTGATATCACCCGTTGTAAACTAGCCGAGCCTATAGTCGGATCAGGAACCAAAAAAAAAAAATAAAATAAAATAAAATAATAGTATGCATCATTTATTTTATTGTACAAAATTTGCATTCGAAAAACTATTAGGTAATTGTTATTTATGTTTCTTTTTTATTTATCTCTTCTCTAATTCCTACAAAATTTCCGGAGTTCTGAGTTTTAAAATTAGAAAGATTTAATGTACAAATGAAAATTTCTTTCTTTCAAAGTTTAGCTTAATACGATATTAAGGCCTATTTACTGAAGAAAATAAAATTTTTTCAAATTCTTTTTTGTGTTTCACAGCATTATTATTTTTTTTTCCCTGTAAATCGGTCATTTCCCGAAATGATCAAGTACGAAAAATGATAACCACCAATCATATTATTGTAAAAATTTTACCAGCATTCGAAACACTTGAAACTGGCTCTAATCATTACAATTTATTAATTTTTAGTAAATATAGAAAATAGGAAAGTATATGAATTAATATTTACCCTCAAGTGTGATATTAGCATTTGAATCTGGCTTCGCTGATTATTTATTCAATTAATGTAAAAGATAATATTTTGGGTTATAATTTCCATCGTTATACTTACCTTCAAATATAAAAATTTTATTGGCATTCGAAACTTAAATAAAACGATGAAATAAAAATTGAAAAAATAATTAAAAATAATTTCGTCAATGATTCTTACCATAAAAATTTTATAAATGCATCGCAAATTTATAATTTTATTAAATTTTATAGTGAAAATAAATTAAGAATGATTTATAATTATTATTTACCTTCAAACGTGAAATCGTTATTGGCAATTGAATCTAGTTTTGCTTAAAATAGAATCATTTAATGAATTATAATATCTGTTTTTATTTTATTTTTGGAAATGATTC